GGGGTGGTGTGTGTGTGTGTGTATGTGTGTGTGTGTGCGTGCGTGTATATATTACCTTCGTCCGGGCAATTATCCTATTAAGAAATGAATATGATAATGTTTGGCATTTATACCTCGAACCATCTCAAACTACCTATGCACTTTCCTCTTCGACTACCCTCTCACGCTTTACAGACCGGCCAATTTCAGTTGATTGCAGGCATGATGCACGCTACCTTATGTGGCTGTAATTACGTGACGATTTTGGTTAGTGGATGTAAAACAATTAGGTGATTAATAAATGTTTCGGCAAATATCGTAAGAATTGCCGAATTTATCATTTAAAGTCTTAGGTACTTAAACATTTAAATTTGTTTAATTTTTATTAATTGCTATTAGGCCCCTTATATAATTTTCATTTCAGTTGGTCTTTTGGCGCTGTAGTTATTGCACAGTACATTGACTTATTCATTTTAAGTGCATACGTATACAAGTATGAAGATTTCAAAGGTAGGAAGTAGAGTAATGTGACACGATGGTTTTTATCATTCATTTTTTCAATAGAATGTTATCTAATAAACATGTTTTCAACTTGTTAAGTGAGTATAACTATGTTAAATCCCCACAATAAAATATAGTTTCTCATTTCAATAGCAACTTTCCAAAATATGTTTGGTGTGCTCCCGAAGAACAATATTTGATTTGCTGAATGTTCGTCGCCATAGATAAACGCAGCCCGCAGTCCTTAATGCTCAGAAAACTATACCTTAAGTTAACTACTTTAGTTTCATGGTTGTCCTTCCAGCTTATGTTGGCTGCCGTCCTCAGTAGATTAGTGAGGTACATATTTGTGAATAGGCCTACTTAGCTTGAGAAACCGAAGGACTATTGCCATTTTGGTTTTATAATTTCAATGAACACCCCAACAAAGAATATCTGTCCATCCTAGAGTATCGCATGACCACTCCGGCACTTTAAAGTATTCTCAATGCTTTAGTTGTTCTAAACATGGAGGAAATAAATTAATTCTGATTTAGTGTTTCTGGCTACATTTTATTTCAACCCGTGCGAAAATCTTTAACATAATTATTCTGTAACTTAATTATTCATATCGTGTGCAGGATGGACTACAGAATCGTTGGACGATTGGTACGAGTTTTCAGTTATTGGCATTAATGGCTGCTTAATGATTGAGCTGGGAATTATAATATTTGAGGCTGGATATCTGTTTTGTGGTATGAACATTTTTTTAGATATTCTTGTTTTGATTTTTAAATATTATTAACAAATTTATGCCAAATTTTAATTCATTTTTGGTAAGGGGTCATCCATAATTATCAACATTTTCAAAAGAGTACAAAGCATATACTTTAGGGGGGAGGGGGTTGAAAGTGTAGGCATAAGTACTCTTTTATGAAAAACATAAAATGTTGATCTCAAAATTACACAAATCAACATTTTATTGTGTACTCTTTCGCGGGGAGGGAGGGGGTAACAGAAAAGAGTATGTTTTGTACACTTTTGAAAATTTTGATAATTATGGATGACCCCTAATTAGGTATGATTTCGTGTATTTTCAGGTACTATAGATGATCTGGCTATGGATGTTTTTGGAGCTGTATATATCATACTTTTCTATACCTTCATGGTAAGAATAAATGTTAGTTTAATGTTACAATTCCAACATTATATTTTAATTACATTATTTTTAACTTTTGAGTAACAATTAACAATAGTTACTGTGAAATTTCTAAATTGTATTTTGGCCGACTGCTGTAATTTTTTTAAAATATATATAACTGTGTTCATTGAGTTGATAGGGACACATATATTGTTTAGAGTAGATTATTTTTTTAAAATTATGACGGGAATAAATCAATTCAGAGTAATAATTACAGATTTGTTCTGGACTCTCAGCAGCCTTAGCCATTCGAATTGGCCAAAGTTTAGGTAAAAATGATCCCGATACGGCTAAAGTGTCTATGCAAGTGGCATTTGTATCGTGCTGTAAGTATAGTCCTCTATTTTATTCAAACAAATAATAGGCCTATGCAAGATAGGAGTGTCTACAGTTATCTAGGCTTCCTTTTGTACAGTTATTTGGTCATATTTCATATTAATGGAAATTTTAAAACGTCCCCGAGACACAAGAATGTGCGTAGCAGTCGAATAAATAACAGATTTGGAACGGGGTGCTTATGTTGGTTATGTAAAACGGTTTGGTGGAATACAAAAAAAAAAAAAACAAACCACCTATATCTCCCATTTGAGACGAGACTGAGTGCTGCAATCCGTACCGTAGTGTGGGGAGGCTGCTTGATACTAAAGCTTTCCTATTAAATGTACCAAACATTGTAATTATTATTATTTTTATCAGGCCAAAATAAAAATTAATACAATTTGTTGTGACGTCACTTTGATGACGTGTTCATTGAGATTGACAAGTATTGTGATTCATGATAGGCCTACTACGTCACACGTTGTTCATTTATAAAAGTAGCTTACACTCTCATTTTTTGCTCAGATCCTGTGACCGTCTCAAAAATTCTACAACAAATTAAAGGTCGTCGTGAAAGATTATACACGACCATCTTCATAAAACTTTACCTCTCCATCCCACCTATTGAACTCCAATGTTTCGCACCCACATTCAGTTGAACATGCCAGGTAAATCTCCTTGGTCTTACCATACGTCTCGTCTCGTAACAACCAACTTCATTTTGTCTATCCCATATTTTCCCACTCCCACCTCTAAATGCACCCTGCTCTTAAGCATTTTCACACACCTCACTCTGGTGCCGTTGCCTCTGGGTTTCTCTACCAACTGAGGTATGAAACTATTGCTGCTATAAAGAACACGTATTACAATGTTAAATAATTTTGAAGGAAATGAATTAAGAAAAATCATTCGAAATATTGTTGCAATTCAAATAAGATAACAATATGGTACGATTATATTTCGTATAATTTGCATTTATTTTAGGGATATATGCCGTTATTGTGTCTTGTCTACTTTTTGGATTCCGAAACTATATTGGATACTTGTTCACAGATGATAGGTAAGTAATGCATATGTAGGGTTATGTATTGTTTTTGAAAATATTGTTTTATGTCTGGAGAAAGGGTATGAAATGACGATGTTTACATTCAAGGTTTTTGTGATTTTATATTTTAACTAGTATCGTATTGAGGCTCAAATTCGGCATACATTAACATATCTTTACAGGGCAATTGTTGACGGTATTGCTGATATTGCTTCTGTGATAATCATCTATGAGATAAGTGACATGACGGGGGTATGTACAATCAATCAGTGTATTTGTTAAATTTTACAAGAGCGTTATACTTATTCTGGGTGCATTTCAATAT